CGACGCCCCCTCAATGGAGGGGTATCCCCCGGACCAAGATTCTAGCCTGAGTCGCCCGGGGGGAGAGGGGGTTTTTCCAAGCGCCCCCCCCTCTAAAAAAGGAGAGAGGCCCGCGCCCCACGGCGCCCCCCCCTTGGGGGGCCCAGGAAACTGCCTATCAAAGAGGCCCCCTTGACCAGCCAAAAGGGGGTCCTCTAGGGCCTTTTTTTTGGGGGCACAAGGGGGCCCGTTTTTTGGGGAGGGGGGGGGGTCCCCCCCAAAAATCTCTTGGCGCGGGGGGGGGGTTTTTTTTTTCTTTTTCGAAAAAAGGGGTTTTTTTTTTTTTTGACCCACGGCAGGGGATTATTCCCCGCTTTTTTTTTCAAAAGGGGGGGGGGAAGGGGGGGGCCTTTTCTTTTGGGTTTTNACCCCCCCCCCCCCCCCCCCCCCCCCCCCCCCCTCTTTCACTTTTTCCTGCTTTTCTTTTCTTCTTTTCCCCTTGACTTTATTTTTTTGCTATTTATCTGCCTCTTTTTATCTCTGATGTACTTTTGCAAAATTAAAAGACCATGTAAGCAAACGCGCGAGCGAGCAGCATGTCTTTCTATTTTCTTTTTATTTTTCTTTTCTTTTCTCTTATTTTCTTTGACAGATCTATTTGTTCTCTTATTGTCTTTTATTGCCTGTATCTCGCCTTTGGGGAAGAAACGCGCGTTTTGTCATGCGAATTGAATGTATTTTGTGTGTGTCCTTTTGCCTTGTCATCTATTTCCTTGCACTTTGAATTTTCACATTAGATGAACGAAAAAGGGATGCCCGAGTTGGACAATGTATGGATGGATGGATGGATGGATGGATGGAGGATGGAAAGGCTAAAGGAAAGGGGAGCATGGCCCGGGATCTGCGAGGGATGAAAGGACATATCTGGCGACACATTTGACTGTCATGAGCGTTATCGATGCATAACATGGCATATAATACCACATAGGCGTTGCAAAATCCCAAGTTTATTAGACCATTCAGCTAGGTAGTTTGACGCAATCTCAATCACAAAACGAAACAAACAAATCAATCTCTCTGCTCTCTCCTTGACCCTGTCCTTGATGTGTCGACCATCATCCTTTGTGAATAAAAGACCACCTTGCTCAACAAGCCCAGAGCGAACCCTGCCAAGACAGACAATAGTCAAATTCGTTCCTGGCCACATCCCTCCCCCAAACGCATCCGTCGTTAACAACGTGGACCAGTATCGGCATACCAAAACATGCTCGCAGGGCGAGAGCAATGGTATAGCGCTGAGGAGCTCTTTCTTCTCCCATGCCTGACCCTCCAACCAGGTCAAGGTATCAAGATAGAAAGGCCAGAATCCACCAAGACGAGTCGGAATATAAAAGAAATAGAGCGGCGTAACGTACCAAATAAAACAAGAGATGCAAGGAAATAGAGACCAAGGGAAATACCAAACGAGACCGGTGCAAAGGGCGAAATAGAAAGAAATGAACAATGAGGATGGCAACCCAAAGGCAGCCCTGGTCTGTCAGAGACATTGTGCCGAATCCACGTTGAAAGGTTCCATACAAATTAACACAGTAGTTGATCCCACAACAGGCAAAGGGGTTAGTGAAGAAAAGAAAACAACAAAGGGAAAAAGAAAAGAAGAAAAAAAGAAGAAGAAAAAAAGACACAGATACATGGCAGTTGCATAGCAAACCCGGATGGCTATCAATCCCCATCTGGGTCGATATCTCACCGACTTAATCAAGAGATGGCGTGTCAAGGCTGCTGTTGCTGAGATCGTTCTCCTCATCAGAGTCACCGTCCGTTTCAGATCCCGCAACGTGATCCACGTCATCCTGCACAGGTTCAGGAGACGAGCTCTCGGCGGTGTTGGTGGTAGACTTGGGAGAGATCTCGATGCTGTTAAACTCTGAAAACTGTTAGCAAGAGGACGAGATAGGACTGATCATGGCCCAATCAACTCACCAATCAGGTTGGCCTTCTTGGCTGGCGAAGTCTCGGGGGAATCTGGCTCCTCAATGATGGGCTCGGGGATCCAGAACGGCGTCGGCCTGGTTGCCTTTGGCTTTGCGCTTTTATACTCCTGTGTCCACTGGCCCGGGGTGCGGTGAGGCTGAGTACCAAAGGAACAATAGCTGCCTAGGTCCGGAAAGCTTCGTTTGCGAGGTTGGTAATACGGATTGGAACTGGGCTGCGAGTAGTCGCTGTAGTAGCTCTGACTATACTCATCTCGCATAGTATGGCATTCAGGGTCATACGAAGGGGAGAATGTGCTCCAAGGCGATGGCTTCCTGTATGCGGATTCGTATCCGCTGGTTTGCCCTCCCCCGTATGGCGACGAATAACTCCAGCCATTGCTTTGTGAGCCTGGATACGTTTGGGTATATGCGGGCTTTGGAGACTTGTGAGACTCCGGCTCCTCCTTGCTACCCGTATCTCCCGAGCTGCCGCGAGTGGTATGGAGCGGTGGTGGCACTCCTGTAGCCCCCATTCCAATGCCGCCAGAGCCGTAGTTGAAGGTTGAGCGGGCGCCAGGTCGATATCCCGTGAAGCTTTCTGTGCTGGGTGACGCAGTATTGTAATATGCATAGGGGTTATAGTATGATTGATCTCCGGCATTGGACGTAGGAGGCATCCACGAACCCGTGGGGCTGTCCTTGGAAAAGGCTCCCCTGTAGCTTCTCTCCGGGATGGCTTCTTCACTCGATCCGTCTCCTACGACAGGAGGAGATGCTACGCCGTGACACTTTGGATAAAAGCCGTCCGATGACTTGACTGGCGAGGTTCCGTATATGCCCACACGGCTGGGTATAGTGTCTTCGTCTGGTTTGATGTCTTCTTCGACAATCTGTGCATGCGACGAGGCATTGCTCGATGTACGGGAGTCGGAGAGACGAACGTCAACTTTCGACCTGAACTTGACAGACTTGCTTCCGATGGACTGCGCCGAGCTATTGGTGGAAGTATGTCCCTCTGTGGAACCGTCAGATGCCTCCTGGGGACTACCAGGTTTGGCAGCCTTTGTAGAGTGGTGAAGGCGCTCATCCTGAGGCTGCCCTCTGCCAGCGGTAGTCGGGTTGATCTGCTCATCTTCAAAGGGCGGCTTCGTTTCCTGGGTGGGCGACACCACATCCTCGACATAAGGGGGCTGATACTTGGGCGTGGTTGGAGTATCGGGGGAGCTGCAGTATGGGCTGCCGGGGCCCGTCAGCGGGCTCCTCTGCGCGCGCCTGTTGGTTGTTCCGGCATTGCGAACTGGGTAGTACGGAGAGTCGGGCGAAGAGTTCGAGGGGCTCAGCTGGGGACTGCTCGTTGACAGCTTCAGCGGGTGTGGGATCTTCTTGTGGTCTCGAGAGTGGACTCGTTCGCTCGCGTCGCTGTGTGCCGAAAACAACAGGACGTCTGGCTGATGCTCCTCGTCGCTCGTCTCCTGAACAGGTCCAAAGGGACTGGTGGACTTGTTTCTCAGAGAATGATTGCGCGTGGCGCCATCATACGATGCACCGTTCTTGGTGGAACGGTTTCCAGGATTCTGCAGTTCAATCTGTGTTAGTCTCACGCTGAAGCATGTCTCCGCAGGGCAACACAATCAGAGTACTCACGAAGTTGACCATGGAGACGTCAGCAATGGTCTCGGCAGATCGAACTTCCTCAACGCAAGCCGAGCAGTAGTTTGGAAAAGGGCGATCGCCCTCCGAGATTGGATGGTTGTGATGAAACTCCTTCGACCTAGCAGTTCCGCAGCCATAGCAGAAGTGATGCTTCAGGTCTCCATTTTCGACTTTTCCTTCAAAGCAGTCTTCGCAATAATTCATGGAAGGGTTGCCGCCTGGGATGATGGGGTGCTTGTTGTGATAGTCGAGAGAGCGAACAGTGCCGCAGCCAGTACACAAGTGATGGCGAACTCCTCTTTTGTGACTCTTGTCTTGCTTTGTAGCAGCAGCGTGTGGCGGCTGAGAGGCCTTGGGCTTCACATCGTGAGGCACAGAGACGTCCGAAGCCTTTGACTGCTTTCCAGTCTCTATGCCTAGTAGCGAATTCAATTTGGTGTTGAGTTCGGTCTGCAGAGTCGACAAGGTGCTCTTCAAGGCACTGTCCTCTGGATGTTGAGAAAGCTTCATGGAAACTTGGTCGATCTGGTTCTGGATATCCTGGACTTGCTGAGAAGTCAAGCTGGGCGGTTGGGGGGAAGCGTGAGTAGTGGCAGAGGGCTTCGGGGTCGTGGGACGGGGTACATGTTGATGGCCACCAGCAACAGCATCACTGTATACAGGCGAGTAGAAGGGGGCCGGAGGAGGGTACATGGAAACCGCGGGATAAGCAAACACAGGCTGATAGTACTGCTGCGGCTGCGCTCCTCCGCCAATGCCGGGAAGAGGTGGCATGCTGTAAGCGTCTGGAGCAGCAACATTAGCTCCTTGCTGGGTGAAACCGGGGACTGCGCGAGGGAACGTGGCCGAAGCCGGGATGGCGAAGGCGGGAGCAGGAGCCCTGAACGAGGCTGGGCTTGAGGAAGCCCTCTCGCGAGCCTTGGAGCTCTTGGACTCCCGCTTCGACGCTCGTCGCATGGTCGGTGGCTCTTGGTTGGAGGGCTTCGGATGCTCGTTGGGAGACGAAGTTTCAGCGGTGGCTGTTTGTTCCTTGGACTGCTGCTGTTGCTGGCGAGGCTTGAAGAAGTTGCGAGCCTTTGGCGTCTCGTCGGCGTCGGGAGTGTCTGGTCTGGCGATGTTTGGTTGAGAAAGGAGAGAAGCCTCGTCCTCGGAGGCGTCGTACTGGACTCGGACGCCCTGCCTGTGGATCTCATGCTGGGCCACCTCTCTCTCTACACGTTCAAAGTCACGGCGCGTGGGTATATTGAAGGCAAGAGTGAGGAGATCGACTCCATTGTCGTCCGCAGGGTTCTTGCGTCGATTCTTCTTGCTGCCTCCACCCATTGTGCCGGGATTCTGAACAGGCGAAGAGTGGAACGAGGTGGGATTGCAATAGGGGGGATTGTTGATCTGAGAGGGGGGGAATCAATAGGGTATTGTTATCCAGAGGACAAAAAGGAGAGAATAGCGAAACAATTGAATGAATGGGAGAAGAGGTGGTGGTGGAGGTTGACGGATGTGAGAAAGGGAAGCTGGGGGGGAGAGAAGAGGAGTGAGGAGAGGAAGAGGGAAGGTGGGTGGAAAAGTGAGAGAAAAGAGAAAGTGAGAAGAGGAAAAAAAAGTGAGATGAAAGTGAAGTGCGAGTCACTTGGGATGAAACGCGTGACTGGCAGGAATTTGCTGTGCTGTGGGAGCGACTTTGTGTGCCAGCTGGCGAGCCCCTTCCGCTTGTGCCCTCGCAGCTGTCACGACTGTCACCACCAGCCCCGGCTTTTTAACTGGTGAAAGTTGACAGTATCAAATCTCGAAAGATTGCGCAGCCAAGGATTGGATGGAAAAGACTAGCGACAATCTGACGGTCCTCGTCTGCTTGATCAAATATGCCTCGAGACGTGATACAGCAAAATAGGGGTAAGCCATATGTGAGTAGGGAGGGGGGATCCCCGAGGTTTAGATACGTGGAACGGGACTACAATATCAGCTTTTGTCTTGCACATCAAATGTCACAAAAAGACGAAATGGCACCTCGGCCTTTATCTCTTCAGACATTGATCATTGATATACACTCTAGACTAGCTGTTGCCTAGATAATACGGGAGCACCCGAGCCCAAAGTTCTCGTTTTGTTTTGACCTCTGTAAGCCTCCTCAGATTCCTCTCCCTGAATCACACATTGCGTCTCTTCAATCCACGCGAAGCACACGGGCGCCCCTCTTCTTGGTGGGCTTCTTCTTCTTCTGGCCGCGCTCAAAGGCTGCGGCATTGGCATGGTCACGACCAATGTTGTCGAGGTCCTTGACCTTGTAGATGCGAATGATCCAGTTCTCGCTGGTGAACGCCTCCTCAATCGTGTTGAGAACGGGCCCTTGGTCTGGAATTCGGACGCCACGAACTCTATCAGCGGCCTGTCCAGCAGGGAATAGAGAGGCATAGTTGTAGTACGACATTTTGTACCTGAAAAGCCTTTGTTAGCCATCAAGTCCCACCGCTTCTGTGATAAGAATGTCCACTTACATCAAGCTGTTCTTCATGGTCTCAGTAGCACCTTCATCGACACGGTACTCTCCCTGAGCAGTAAAGAAGTCTCGCTCCTTGACCTCCTCGGGCCAAATACCTTCAGCGATGCGGACCATCCACAAGAACTTGTTGATATCGTCGCCAGAGTAGCCCAAGAGACCGCCGAATACAACGAGGATATAGTCCACTTCGTGCTGCCTCATGATGGGGTAGCTGACCTCTTCTCGTGAGCTCATTGCCTTGCCAACGGTAGCAATGTGGGTGTTGTTCCAGGTGTTGTTGTCGACCAGCGTAGGGCGGTCGGCCATTCCACCGATCTGGTAGCCGTAGTCCCACCAGGACATGATCTTGGCGTCCTCCTTGGTGTTTTGGCGCAGCCACTGGTAAGCCTCTCGATAATCGTCAATGATGTGCTGACTTCCATCCGGCATACGGCTGGCAAGGACCACTGAGGGCGAGGAGTAGGCGTTTGAAGTGACCCAGGTGCAGTGAGAGACAAACATCAGGAGGTAGACGAGCATCGAGCCGGACACCATCACCTTGGTGAGGTTGCTGTAGATGCCGACAGTGGGCTTGTCGCTTCCGCGGAGACCGCCCTTTGCCTTCTTTGGCGCCTCCTGCTCCTCCGCGGCGGGAGCAGGCGTCCTCCAGGAGAGGTAGGTGTCGAGAATCTGAGAGGCTGCCATGGCGGCGGCGACACAGACGACGGGCGTGAGCGTGAGCATCAGGCGCACCATGACGCCGGCGAAGTAGCTTCCGAAGAGGGCATACACAACGACGAAGACATGCTCGTCCTTGAGATCCTGGAAGCACAGATAGACACCGGCGGGGAAGAGCCAGATGAGGAAGTTCAAGTCGAAGAAGAAGGACGGCCAGGCGGTGGGCTGATGCTCGGAGACGGAGGCGATGATGGGAATGTGGATCTTAGCATAGCCGGTGTCCCACAGCGAGTAGAAGCGCCCGCTCCAGGGAGCAATGTAGCCCAGAGAAGTGAGGGCGACGAGACCAAGCAGACCCAATCCAAAGGTCGCCACGAGGATCGTGACAAGGAACGTCTGGAACTGGCGCCCAGAAATGGCAGATCGCACGTATTGGATGAAGCCAATGAGCTGGATGAAGCCAAAGATGCCTTTGGGGGGGAATCAAATGTTAGTCATACAAGTGTTGACGTCCGCGTCACAGATAATGGGATGTATCATACCGAGAGCGGGCATGTGCTCGCTGGTCTTGATGGGCAAGAAGCCGACAAAGGGAATCTGCATGCTGGCCAATGTTCCCAGAGCGTACCAGGTGGTGTAGCTGACATAGAGACGAGTGCTGTAGCGACCCATGCAGATCAGGACCAGAGCATGGACGGGCAGCAGACAGGTAATGAAGGCATATCCACCCCACGATGCCACCATGTATCCGTAGAAGAGGGCGCAGAGGGCGCCCCACAGCATGGAACCCAGCTTGAGGGCCTTGATCCACAGGTAAAAGGTGAAGACGAGGAGGAAGATGGCAATGGCCTCGTTATCGTAGCTGCCGGCGACGGATCGCGAGATGTAGCCCGGCGCAATGCCCATGAAGACGGCAGCCAGGAGACCCGCAGATGGCGACGTCGTCATTTCGTTGGTCAGAAGGTATGTGGCAAACGCGGTCAGGCCTGAGCAGGCCGGCGCAAGCAGGACGCAGATGTTGCGGATGTCGACGGGGACCGTCAGCGTTCGCAGGGCGTGGTAGATGGCGCCGCTGGTGACCATGAGGCCCGGATACAGGGTGCCTCCGGTGACTCGGCCGAGGGGATGCCATGTTCGGTCGTCGAACCAGTCCCAGAACTTGTGGAAGCCATTTGCGACAAGGTACTTTGTTGCGCGGAAGTTGAACCAGGGATCGACTAGATGGTTGTTGTTTGTTAGTCTGGGGCGTCTTGGACCGAACCATGGGACATGTATGGTGGGTGTATGTCACCAACATTCGTGGATAATGCTTTCAAATCCTGCAAGAAGAGGCTGTTAGCAGGCTTGTCTAGAGTCTGGGGACGATGCCGGCTGCGATTGGGCGGCTGCAATGGGCTGACATCGCAGCATCGCATCGCCAGGCAGTCTGGCAGCCTGGCTTGGAGCAAACAGCTTACGTATAACGGAGAAGAGACGGCTGGAGATGGCTGCGGCGGCAATGAAGCACAGGATGACGACCCGGAGCAGCGTCCGCGTGCTTTCGGTGGTGTAGCCTACGGCGGGCCCTTGGGGGGATTTTGCCGCCATGGTGGCTACTGGTGTCGACGGTGAATCTCCTGGGGAGGTTGGATGGAGATTCTGCGAACTGACCCTCAGACGCCGCGCTGCAGTTGCTTCTGGTGAGGACAGCTTGGAGCTTAAGGCGCTACAGTATGTCAAGAAGGCTGTGGGGCAAGCGCCGGAGGCCGGTGTTTTCCCGGGGCGGTAGTACCTGCACCTGTCTCAACTGGACGTTATCAAGTACCTAAGGTACAACTAGCAGTAAGGTAGTACTTATCAATCGCACACGATGTCTTGGAGCTTCATGCGCCAATTGAAAAAGTGGAAACGGCTTGAGTGAGAGTTGAAGCTGTTTGAAGCTGCCTCGACTGCAGTGTCACGACGTAGCTGGATTTGTAAAGAGAAGAGAGGACTTGATCATCTTGTGCCTTGATGCAGCTCGATTAGGTATAGTAGGTTGCTCAAGAGAAAGAAAAAGTGACAACATCCGTTAATTGGTGCGAAAGTACCTACCAAATATCGTGCCACCTCGTTGATATCTCTCTCAGTTCGGCTACCTCGCCTCGATGATACCATCTGCCATCTTCGGCGTCGCAAGACTTCTCTCATATCCACCAAGCAATCGTCACTTGATAGGTTCACAATTGCTTCATAACAGTCTCTCGATTGTTGTGTTGCTTTTGTTTTTGATTTTGAAACGTCTAATTGCGCATATTTTTACATGGTACAGCTCACCAAAAACAAAAAGAAAAAAATAAAAGACCCCAGAAAACCTCTATGCAGCGGCGCCATGTGTAGTTTCAGATATACACTGCCTTTGCAGTCTGTGGTGTCTCATTACGCCTCTCACGGCTTTTTTTGCGTCTCCAAGACGACCAGATTTTGTTCGCCCCAATGCCACCCTCACTCGCTCTTTCAGCATGCATCTCTGCTTTGCTCAACCCTCCTCCATCAGCCCTCGCTTTGGTTCGGTCAAGGGTTCTCCTTGGAGATCTTTAGTAGGTATTTCTCGAGGTCAAACTCCGGGCTGTTGACATCCAGGGCGGCTGTTCCAGAGTTAGCTTTGCTGGTCGACATCCAAACATGCGCATCCCCTATCTCCACCCCCTCCATCCCCGTGGGCCTGCCGCAACAACCCCGCGGGAGTCAGAGGAGACAAGAGACTGGTGCCATGCCACCCCCTTCTCGAATATATGCGTACCATCGTTGTCTGATGCTGCGGCCGGGGCCTTCTTCTTCGCGTACTCGGCCTTGGCCTGCTCTATCAGCTTCTGCTTCTGCTCGTACTCGTGCTGCGCGTGCTGAGCTCGCTGTGTCGCAGTGATTGTGCGCTGGTGGGAGAAGCCGTAGAAGACGCCAAAGGCGAGGGCGGACCACCGGAGGACCTGGAATTCACACTTCTATCAGCCTTGCGTCGCCAAGGAAGGGCCAATTGCACGCGGGCGTCGCAGGGCCGGGGCCGATGCGGGACGGCTGCGGTTGGGCACTGCGAGGGTTAAGACTGCAAATGCAGCAACGTACGTTGACTCCCGTTGACGACATTGTGAAAATCGCACGTCGCGCGGCTGCTGCAGGCAGAAATCGGGGAGAGCGAGCGGATCTGGGGGGG